GTACTTCAGATGAAAGTTTTCAGAAAAGAATAGTTTCTCATTAAACGGTACACATATTGCCCTATGACAATGGTTAACAACCCCACGACGTGTCAACACTGTCCTTTCTCAACCTTGGGTTCCCTATCACAGTTTTCCTGTCCCCTCCTGCCTTCTAGTCCTTGTCCCTGGACTACTGTGCCTCATTAGTCCCATTTTGTTTTATGGGGCTGTCCAATCCCTGGCTGAATGGTGAGCCTCAGGAGTGACTTCACCACTGAGCTAAAACAAGGGGCCATACCCTTGAGGTTTCTCCAGTCTCTGTCAGGCCAGTAAATCTGGTCTTTTTTTGTGTGATAGAATTTTGTTCTATATCTTTCTCCAGCTCTGTCCAGGACCCTCTGTTGTGATCCCAGTCACAGCAGTCAATGGTGGTAGCCGGGCACCATCTAGCTGTACTGGACTCAGTCTGGTGGCGGCCTTGGTAGCTGTGGTCCGTTAGTCCTTTGGACTAATCTTTTCCTTGTATCCTGTTCTCTTCATTCTCCCTTGCTTCTGAAGGGTGGGAGACCAGTGGAATATCTTAAATGGCTACTTACAGGCTTTTAAGACCCCAGACGCTATTCACCAAGGTAGAATGCAGAACATTGTCTTTATAAACTGTGTTATGCCCGTTGAGCTAGAGGTACCTCGAGAGCATGGTCCCCACAGCCCTCCACCCAGTAATTCAGTCCCTCAGAGAGTTTGCATGTGTCTATGGAGCTTTCATGACCTTGCTGGAGTACGTTTTTGTATAGCTTCCTAGTGGCGCAGCAGTGGTTAAGAGATTGGCCTCTAACCAAAAGGTTGACAGTTCAAATCCACCAACCTCTCCTTGGAAACCCTCTAGGGCAGTTCTACTCTGTCCTATGGGATTGCTATAAGTCAAAATTGACTCACTGGAACAGGTTTGGGTTTTTTTTGTTTGTTTGTTTTTGGTTTCCCTAAGAAAAGGTATATAGGAGGTCAACTCCTTGAATCCTTGAATGTCTAAAAACCTATTCTGTCTTCATAGTTTGACTGGGTACAGAATTCTGCATTAATAATTATTTTCTCTTGAATTTTGAAGCTATTGCTCTATTCTAGCCACTAGTGTTATCAGTAAGAAGTCTTATTTTCATTTAGTTGTTGGTGACCTGGTTTTTTTGTTTGTTTTTGTTTTTTTTCTCCCTGGAGACTTCTAGGATCTTTTTATTTTGAGGTGTTACGAAATTCTGTATGTCTCTAGGTATGGCTCTTTCATTGTGTTCTGCACTCTGTAAGCCCTTTGAATTTGAAAACATGCCTCCCTTCAGCAGTGGGAACTCTTATTTCTTAATTCCTTCCATCTACTTTTTTCTTTTCTCTCTAGAATTCCTTCTAGTTGAATATTGGACCTTCTGAGTTCATTTTCTTTATTTTACTCATCTTTATTTCTGTATTCTTCAGTTTTATCTTCTAACTTTCTTAGTTAGATTCCACTTAGCAGGTGGAATTGTAAGATTCTTGATTTATGGATACAAATAGTTTTTCAAAATTATCATCTGTTGCCTTGAGATACTCTTTCCCCCAGGGTCATTTTTGTTTTGTTTACAGTAGGCTTTCTGATCAGGCTTTAGTAGATGAATGCTGATAGATGGAAGACAAATGTGAAACAGAACTCAAATTCTTAAAAAGCCCAGACTTACTGGATTGGGTGAGACTAGAGGACTCCCTAAGACTATTGCCCTGAGATGCTCTTTAAACCTTAAATTGAAATTATCCCTTGAGGTCGCCTTTTTAGCTAAGTAGCAGATTGGCTCATAAAATAAAGAATATCACCTGTGAGTATTGAGCTCCTTTAAAAAAACATCTGCAGGAGACCAAATGGTCAGAAATAACTCTAAAGTAAAAATGAGAAGGTAAGGGGGCAGGGAAACTAGAGTACTGGAAGTGGTACAACCAGAACAAAATGAATGAGAATGATGACACATTGTAAAAAATAACCAATATCACTGAATAATTTGTGTAGAAATTCTTAAATGGGAACCTAATTTGCTGTGTAAAATTTTACCTTAAATACAGTAATTTTTTTTTTTTTTTTTTTTAAAGCAAGGGTAATGTAAGTCCAAGTGCCTGCCTAGTTGACTTGACATTCCTACTTTGCTTTTTGTCTTAATAGGACAAATTTTTGGGACCATGAAATGTAGACAGATATTAGATGAGGGGTTGTATGAGTGGAAACAGAGTAGGAATCCAAGACTTTCTGAATTTTTTGCATAACCAGAATCCCACCTATCCCGTATAGTCTGGAAGTAAAAAACCTTACCTTAGTATTAAATGTTAAATACAAGCATCACAGAACTGGTGTGTTTATATTTTAAATATAATCCTTTTTCTCAGTTCTAGAAATTTTGAAGAAGTATGTATGGTATTGGCTTGTTTTTTTTTTTTTTTTTAAGGTGTGGAATTATCCACAGACTATGTCAATCCCCAACCAATTTCTTACTGTTATAGTTTGCTTTTCCTGTCTTATAATGGGCATATGTGTAGAAAATACTAGCTAATTTTAATATCAAAATATGGAAAACCTCATCCAAATAGCAATTGTAAGAGTTTCTTTGGACTCTGTTCTAAGTATTAAGTTTTGTTTTGTTTTTTTTGTTTGTTTGTTTCTCTTTTTCATATTGGGCTGAAATCTGCCACCCTGTAACTTCCATCCATTGGTTCTAGTTCTGTTCTCTGGAGCAGCATGGAGTAAGTCTATTCTATTAGTAGGCAGCTATCAAAACTCTCCAATCACCTTTTTTAGACTGATTGCCCCCAGGACCTCCAATTCTTATAGGAAATAACACCTAGATTTATAAGCTTTATATTGATTTCCTTTGGACACTTCCTAGTTTATCAGTGTTTTCCATAATGCAGTTAAAATATGATGGCTCGGAATTTTAATTCTGTACCACATTTCTATGGTATTGTGCACACCAGTGCAAAAGACCCTGTACTATATAGCCCATGATTCAGATACTCTAGTTTATTAGTGCAACTTCAGCTTATGTCAGATTTTTTTTTTCCTCATCAGCTATTCTTAACTGTTGGCACATGTTCAAATTTGTGGTCAGCTAAAACCTATCAGCTAAGTGGCTGTTGAAGCTGTCCTTTTCTTAGAAGGCACTCCTGCCTTAGTATTTGTTGAGTTTGTTACTCAGGGAACCTAGAAAAAAAACAAATACACATCCATACACTAAAATCTGTAGAACATAGTCTCTAAATTTAAAAGTTAAAGAATTTTAGTTGGAAATTCATCTAGTTCACCTTTTTGGGAAAATATTTTTGCCTTTTTGAGGTTTAAGTGGTTATGATTGCAAAGTATCTCGCTTAGGTCCCCTTTTACAACATGTGCTATTACATTTTTAAGAGAAAAATAAACATATATGATGAAATGTTACCTATAATTAAATAATGGATATTTAATTGCAGGTTTTGTACCCTAGAGCAGGATTTGTTTTTTAAGAGAAAAATAAGCAATTACGATGAAATGTTATCTATAATTAAATAATAGATATGTAATTGTAGGTTTTGTGCTCTAGAGTGGGATTTCTTAGCTTTGGCACTGTTGATATTCTTTGGGTAATTCTTTGTTTTAGGGGGCTGTCCTATACATTGTAGGACATGTAACACATTCTCAGCCTATACTCACTAGATGCCAGTAGCACAGTCCTCCATTCCCAGCAGTTGTGACAGAAATGTCTCTAGACATGGCCAGATGTCCCCTGGGGGATAAAATCTCCCCTAATTGATAACCACTGCTCTAGAACAACATAGGTATTTATGCTAACTGGCTGATAGTTTCTACCTTAAATTTTCTCCATAATTGGAGTTAGAATACATTATTTTTTATAATTTCTTTTTAAAGATTTTTAAAAACGATAAAACATAGTAAAGAACTTCATATATAGCAAATACTTTTACAATTTTCTAGTTGGACCTTTTTTTGTTTTTTTCCTAATACTGCTGCTTATCCTAGTTTGTCATCCCTGCTTTGTGATATAATCTATGGTCTGAAACATAGTATGTGTGAGATTAAGGGATGAAAATTATAGAACACTAATAAATACGGTATTAAGTAGGAGGTTTATTAAATTCAAATATTTGGTATTATCTAGCCCATAATTAAATTACTTGAAAATGTACTTTTTATTTAAGTCGATTAAACTCTTAGATTTTAAAATTAAATTGTATTTTTTTTATTTTTGTACTTTGCAATATAGCCAGCAACCAGCTTCTGGTGTAGCCTATTCTCATCCAACTACAGTTGCTAGCTACACCGTTCATCAGGCTCCAGTAGCTGCTCACACAGTTACTGCTGCCTATGCACCAGCAGCCGCCACAGTTGCAGTTGCCAGGCCTGCTCCAGTAGCGGTTGCAGCTGCTGCAACAGCTGCTGCTTATGGAGGCTACCCCACTGCACACACAGCAACTGACTATGGTTATACCCAGAGGCAGCAAGAAGCACCACCCCCACCACCCCCAGCTACTACACAAAATTACCAGGTAAGAAAACTGCTCAGTAGCCTTGACGTATAGATTTAAGTGACCTCAGTGCATGACATAATGCCCATGCCAGTGCTTCTCAAACATTGGACTTCCAAAATATACCTCTGTCTCATGATAGAGGAGAGTGAATATGTATTCTTAGGTAGTTTGGGACCACAGTCAAAGTATTAAGTTTCCTTGCAGTGTGTTTTAGGTTAATAACCCCCCCATAGTCCATTTTCCCCCAGTATATATTTCTGTTTGCTTAAATTTTAAAATATTTTGCATTAATTACTGATTAAATATTTTAATTTTACCTCAAATTAAGACTTGACGAAGATAACCTTTGTTTGTACTGTGGTATTATATATCCACTTGGAACATAGCCCTGTCTGCTATTTTGAGACCCATGAGCCTAGGCTATATAGGACAAACAAATTACATAGTATCTTTTTCAGACTTAACAAGGGTGGAAATTCTATTGCCTGTACATTCTTCCTGTCCAGGTATTCTCTCCTAGTATGTAACAGAAATTGATCGTGCTCTTATTCATCCAGTTGCTGCTTGTTCAGTCTTAGTGGGGACATAAAGGTCTAGTTCTCTTTACACTATCATGTTTGAAAACAGTACTAGTTTTACTACTTGCTTACTTAATAAAATTTGATCCTAATTCCTTTAACTTGTTTTTTTGTTTATTAGTTAGCTTTCAGGATCTTTTTTTTAACTTTTGGTCCTTCTGGACTTCCCCCAGTTTTTCCATGTTCTGTCTAAAGCATAGAAATTTTTACTTTGTAAAGTAAGAAAGTGATGTATGAATCATTAATACTAGTATTTGTTATTAATATCTGGCAAGTTACTGAACTCAGAATTCCTTATGACATATATGATTGTGTTTCTTTATGCCAAAGACAGACTATAATAAATCCCATTGTCTTTAATAGGGTCTGTGAGGCCCATCATTTTCTGGGCCCTGCCTGTCTCTTTATTTAGTCTTACCTCCTACGTACCTCCCACCTTTCCTCACTTTATGCAGCACCAGAATTCACCCAACTCACCTTGATTTTTCACTGTCTTGGGGCTGTATGTATACTATTCCCTCTCCCTGGAACGCCCTTCCTCTTCCCCGCCCCCCTCCACCTGGAAGCTCCTACTCAGCATTACGTTAATGATAGTAAAAAAGAACGAAAATAAAACTGGAGTAATCACAAAGCTTAGAACACACAGACACTCTTTTCTAATGCTGTGGAATCCATCCTTAAGGCAAAAATGCCATGAATTTTTTAAGAAAATTTTTATTTTAAATAATTATTATTTTTAAAAGTTTTGTTAGATTTTCTGATTGTAAACCCAAAACATGCTGCTTGAAATGGTTTTTATCTTACTTGATGAAGTCCAAAGTGAATCCCTTTGTATTGAATTTGACCCTCTTATGTCTAGATTTAGGTTCATATTTAGTTTTTTTTCTTTATTAGACGTTTATACAGTAAAGATATTTGTTTTCCCTGCCACTTCACTAATGGTAAGATTTTCTTTAATTCCTTTTCTTTAGGACTCATACTCATATGTAAGATCCACAGCCCCTGCTGTAGCTTATGATAGTAAGCAGTACTACCAACAACCAACAGCAACTGCTGCTGCTGTAGCTGCCGCTGCCCAGCCTCAGCCTTCTGTTGCTGAAACCTACTATCAGACAGGTGGGTTTTATTAACATATCCAGTTTCACTGTAATCTGTGGGGAAATACATGAGTTAGGATATATTTTTAATGAAGACATGGCTCTTGAGTTCATCTAAACCCATTGTGTATGTCACCTTGGAGGCAGATTCTAAACCTGTCCTTCTCTTCCTCTACTAGAATGCCTTTGAGTCACAAAGAGAAGACCATGGAGGCAATTCATAATCATGTCCTTCTCTTCTAGAAATGTACTCCATGTTTGACTTCAGCTTACAGTTCCCTTCCTACCAAAAAAAAAAAAAGCTGTACCGAGGAAGCTGTAGTGTTTTCAGCTTCTAGCCATGTTCTTATCTTGTCGGAAATGCCCAGAACATATTGCCAGCTGACCTTGTACCTAATGGAAACCCTTTATGGACCCATATTTTTAACTTATCTTTCATTGATCTCTAATAAAGTTGATTCTGTTACCAACTACCTCTGACATTAAATACACTGTTATATAATGGTCGAAATACAGAAAGTGTTTTGTTTGCAAAGAAACCTACGTATTTGTAGACTAAAGATGGATTTTTCCTAGAGATTTAATTGAGAACTTTTAAAACAAAGCCGTAAATTCTGAAAGTGGGCAACTCCATTATTTCAGTTATTTTTGTGAAGCACTATGAGGGCGTTGGTGGCGTAGTGGTTAAGTAATCGGCTGCTAACCAAAAGATTGGCAGTTCGAATCCACCAGCCACTCCTTGGAAACCCTACAGGGCAGTTCTCCTCTGTCCTGTAGGATCGCTGTGAGTCAAAATCGACTTGACAGCAGTGGGTTTGGTTTTGAGTTTGGTATGAGGGTGTTTGTAGAGCCTTAGATTGGGAGAAAGTAGAACGGGCTTCCTGCACTGGCTTTAACACTAACATGAACAAGAGATTTTTTTCCTCTCTTCATCTCTTTTCCTGTAGATAAACGTAGTTAACCCAGATCTCTTTAGGGTCACCTTTAGTTCTAAGATTTTGAATCCCTTAAAAGTAATTTTAAAATATCTTGAATTTTAATGACCCTGGATTTTCTTACAGTCTCTTCTCTGGTGATGTGCTAGGTACAGTATACTGAACTTCCAGTTTAATTGCCAAGCTTAGATTGTGCGCAAGAGCAGTGAGTTACCTAGAAGTCAGAAGACATTGACATAATCTAAACTCTGACATTGACTGTGTGACTTTTGTAAGTCATTTAGCTCTTGGACATTAGTTTCTTCTAATGTTATCTCCATCTGTGTTGTGTGGATCAAATTTCATAATGGATATAGATGAAAGTTTTATATAGTCTTAAGTTCTCTTTATGTAAGATTCCTTTAATTGATCATAAAATGAGTTTGGCCCCCTGATATTTGGGGCTTCCTCAAAAATTACATTTATGTGCTTTCGTGATTGTTAATAAGTAGTTAATTGCTAATTTATTGATTGGTAATAAGGCTTTAAGATTCTTAAAGTATACATTTGTTTTGAATATGATCAAAGGTACCAGAAAGTTCAGCAGAGACTTTAATGATAGCCATTTAAGAATGTCTGCACTCAGGCTATTGACATTTGAAGAATTGAGTCAGTACCTTCATGTGAGTCAGAAGTGCACTACAGATTTAAAGTGATCAACTGCTGACCAAAAGGTCCGCAGTTTGAAACCACCAGGGGCTCTGCAGGAGAAAGATCCGGCAGTTTGCTTACGTAGAGATTTATAGCCTAGGAAACCCATTGGGGTTGCTCTGAGTCAGAATAAACTCAATGGCATTGAGTTTGGTTTTGGGTTTTCACTACAGATAAATCAGTAAAATGCAATGAATGGTATGTGAACAAGTGTCTTGTAATTAAACTTTGAAATTTTTATTGTGAATTAAAATACATACTTGGAGGCTCTCTTCATTTTAATTCCAACATTAAGCGTAACTCTCAAGTAGATTGACTAGTCTAAACAAACACACACACATAACCCCTTTTCTGAAAACTTTTATTTCTGCTAGTTGTAAATAGTACTGGCATTTCACTAAATTTTAAATTTTGCCAGAATGCCATTTTGAAAATATGTGGAAAGTATTTGAGAAAAACTAGTTAATCTATTTACATAGATAACTATATTTTATTAATTTTTGGTAATAAAAATTTTACCCCTTTTGCTAAGAAGAAATTGCTGGCATAGAATTTACAGTTAATGATGCTTACATTTATTATTTTCTAGTTTTTAAGGATATTGGTACAGTACTATAGTGGCTTACCCTTCTGATTATTTTATGTCTCTTTTTTCGTTTAGCCCCTAAAGCAGGTTATAGTCAAGGTGCAACTCAGTATACTCAAGCTCAGCAGACTCGACAAGTGACAGCCATAAAACCAGCCACACCAAGTCCAGCTACCACTACTTTCTCCATTTATCCTGTATCCTCCACGGTACAGCCAGTAGCAGCTGCGGCCACTGTGGTGCCATCCTATACCCAGAGTGCTACTTACAGTACCACAGCGGTTACTTATTCTGGTAAGACTGATTACCTATGTTGTTGTCAGTGAGTAAAGAAATTAAAAAGACACTTGCTGTTAGAAACTTTGATTTTCTGTGGAACTATCTTACTTCTGATAGCAAGAATTGAATTAATTGATAGATGTTAATATAAATATATGTGCATATTGTGACAAATGGATCATACTTTGTTGTTGTCATCGTTGTTTTTCAACCAGAAGCTCTTGGCAGAGTAAAAATGCTCTTCAGGGAATTGTCTTGGGCTTAGCATTGCAGTTAGAGGAAGTAACACCCAGTCTTCTATGGAGTCGTTTTCTTTTCTGACTTTTCCAAATGAACTTTAATACTCAAGGTTAACACTCAGAGAATACCACTGGCATATTATTTATATTGTTTATTTCAGCCCTTGAAGAACTTTTTCTTCATACTTATCAGGAATGAGTGATCTTGAAAGTACTGGGTAGCCTTTTCTAAAGATCCTAGTATGATGCTTATGTAACGCACCTGTCTTGGAAGGACAGAGTAGCTTTATTAGCCTCAAGTAATCATGTATTTTCCCTGGAGAAGTATAATCACTGAAACCCTCCTCCTATGCCTACTACTTCTGCTAAATTCCAGCTGAGATAGTTTGCAGTATTGCAATGATTAAATTCACATATTGCACTTTTGTAGACACTTATTGCTGTGTAGTTTATTGTTGTTTTACATTTTATTTATTCCTTAATACACTGTCTTGTTCCGTGGAGAGTTTAAGGTGACTTATGTAAGTTTTTCCTTCTTGATACTTTGTTGTAGCTTGAGTGTCAGAAGCCTAGCAAATACTTCTTTATTTCTGAGAGACTTTTTATCTCTTAATCTATGTCAAATGCTATGCTGGGTGCTAGGGATGCGGTGATAAACTAGGAGGTGTGGAGTATTTGGGAAGAACAGTTCGTTGTGGCTGGAGTATAGGACACTTGGGGTGCATATCAAGAGATGAGACTAGATATGTCAGAGTGTTTTCAATTCTGCAGAGAAGTCGAAAGAACGGTACGATGAACACCATATGCCATTCGTTTGTTGTTAGGTGCCGTTGAGGCAGTTCTGACTCATAGGGACTTTGTGTACAACAGTATGAAACACTGCCTGGCCTGTGCCATCCTCACAATTGTTGCTATGTTTGACCCCCATTGTTGCAGCCAGTGTCAGTCCTTCTCATTGAAGGTCTTCTTTTTGTTGACCCTCTGCTTTACCAAGCATGATGTCATTCTCCAGGGACTGGTCCTTCCTGATAACATGTCATAAGTTTGTGAGATGAAGTCTCACCATTCTCCCTTCTAAGGAGCATTCTGGCTGTACTTCTTCCAAGACAGATTTGTTCATTCTTCTGACAGTCCATGGTACGTTCAATATTCTTTGCCAGCACCAAATTCAAATGCATCATTTCTTCTTTGGTCTTCCTTATTCATTGTCCAGCTTTCACGTGCATGTGAGGCGATTGAAAATACCATGGCATAGGTCAGGCGCACCTTAGTCCGCAAAGTGACGTCTTTGCTTTTCAACCCTCTGAAGAGGTCTTTTCAGTAGATTTACCCAGTGCAATATGTCATTTGATTTCTTGATTGCTGCTTCCGTGGGAGTTGCTTATGGATCCAAGTAAAATTAAATCCTTGACAGCTTCAGTATTTTCACCTAGATTCATCAGTTCACTAAGATTAATCAATTACTACTATTTTGTCACATTTGCTTTCTCTCTTTCTCTAAAAAACATGTCTTCAGATGGCTCAGCAATATATTTTATAAGTGCACACAGCATGATGCTTTGCCCTGAATTTTGTAGCATGTATTTCCTAAGAATGAGGACATTCTTTTACATAACCACGATGCCAGTATTGTAATACGATACTATTTAATATCTAATATATAAATTTCCCTGGTTGTCTACAGATGTCTTTTATGACTGGGTGTTTTATATGTTTGTGCTTTGTTTTAAATGTAGGGTCCAAAGAAGGATTGTGGATTTGATTGTCATATCTTGTTAGTTTGTTTTAATCTTGAGTAATCCCTCTACTTTGTCTCTCGTGGGATTCATATTTTTGAAGAGTTCTGCCAGTTATCTTGTAGGATACCCCATGACCTGAATTTACCAATGATTTCTTCATGTTTAGTTTCAGGCAACTCTTTAGGCAAGAAAACTACTTAAATGTACTTTCCATTTTGTCATATCAGTAGCATATAACGTCAGTTTGTTCCTTATTGATGACGCCAGCTATAATCACTGGTTAAGGTGGTAACTACTAGTCCTCTCTCCATTGTAAAGGTACCTTTTTCTATTTGTAATTAACAAATAATCTGTGGCCCCGTTACCCACTTACCTTTCACCCTATAGTGTTAGATCCTTTGAAAATCCTTAAGAATCAGTTACGACAAGGGTGGTTGCAAAATCCTTTTACATGTATTCTCAGGCATTCTTCTCTAAAGAAGAGTCCCCAGAACCCTTCCTTTTTTAAGTATTATTATGGACACATTCTTTATTATTCAATGTGTTATAATCCGTTACTCATTTTTTCTTTTTAAGGCTCAAATTGTGCCATATTTGACCAATGGGAACCTCTAAAACCAGCTCCTAAGTCTTTTTGTCATGACTCCGTCGGTTAGTCTTTGAGTACTTCTTTCCTTTCTGGCACAAGATGTCACAGAAACACTTCATGCTTTCTCTGCCCAAGAGTAAAAAGATCAACCATTTTGCCAAGGAATCATGGTTTCTTAAGTTGTTGTTAGGTGCTGTTGAGTCGATTTCAACTCATAATGACCCTGTGTGACAGAGTAGAACTGCCCCTTAGTGTTTTATAGACTGTAATGTTTACAGGAGCAGATCACCAGGTCTTTCTCCCACGAAGCCACTGGGCTTCCAACCTTTCGGTTAGCAGCTAAGGGCTTAACCTTTTCCCTGCCAGGGCTACCCTTCTTATAGTAACCCATTGCTGTCGAGTCAATTCCGACTCATAGTGACCCTATAGGACATAGCAGAACTGTCCCATACGATTTCTTACAGTAGGTGGTGGTATTTAGAAACCAAATTCATGGTTAGGAAATATATATATATAAAAATAAAAATATATATATATATATTTTTTCATATATATATATATATATAAAACTTTATTATGGTAAAATACATTCAGCAGAGTTTGCCATTTTAATGTGTGGAATTCAGTAGCATTGATTACATTCACCATGTTGTGCTGCCATCACCACTAACCATTTCTAAAGGTTTTTCATCACCCTGGACAGAAACTCAGTGCCCCTTCAGCTATAACTCCCTTTCCCCCACTCCCTAGCCCCTGGTAACCACTAATAAACTTTTGTCTGTATGCATTTACCTAATGTTTGCATAGTATTTTATGGTATGAATGTATTTATACATGTTTTTGCCTATAGATTTGAAAGCATTTAGCTGTGACCTTATGTTTTTTTAATCACATTTTTAATAGAGGGCATTGGTAGGACTGCCCAATAAAGAGATTTGGTTGACCTATACAGTTTTTCTCTTAACCAGTCATATCAGTTGTTTTCTAATTATTATTTTTATCTTCTCTGATCATTTGCTTATCGTTGATATAAGTTCATCTGCTTTTCCCACTTTCATGTTCAGATGTTTCCTTTTCTGTTACCACACTTTCTTTAAATCTCATAAACACTTGTATAACAATAACCTGAAATAAAAGTCTAGAGAGGCTTTTTGCAAAAATTGCCAACTACTTTCTCTCCTGGATATGTCCGATTTCATATTCCTATTTTTCGGATTTCCTGTGCATCTTAATTCTCACCCTTCCAATTTATGTTTTCTCTCCTGTGTGTGTAAATTGGAGTCAGTGGGTGAGAAGTCCTTACTTTTCAGTAGAAGCAGTCTACGTTCCAGAGACAGGAGAGTTCAGTTCTCCTTAAGTAGTTCTGCTGTACCATCGCAGCAACTAGGAATCTTTCTTCTGAACCTTATGTGACTCTTTGCCCACCAGTTACCACTTACGGGAAAAAAGAGTCTTCAGATTTCCAGAGATCTTAGTTTAGAAGGCATGGTATTACAGTTTTGAGGTAAGCTTATAAATAAAATCAGTGACATTGTCGGATTTAAAACTTTTACAGAGTTTAAGATCTGTTTATCACTTAACATGAATAACGTGTATATATTATGTCAATAACTACCATAATGTGCTTATTCATTATTAACTCTGGGCAATGGAAATGGATGGAATCCATACATTTTTAACTAGAAAAAATAGTGTTTTTGTACCTCTTGGGAGGAAGATGAGAACCAAGGTATTTGGTTTTTAATTCCAAAATACTATATATGTTGTTTTATATTCTCTGCTAAGCTGTACCCAGCTTACCTCCCCTAATCAGCTTCTGTAGGCTTCTCAGCTTTATCAGTTACACAATACATCAGTCAGTTATTGGGGGTTCAAAGTCTTGGTGTCCGTTTTGTATGTTTTCTTCTTTTACCTCTTAGCTACCAAGTATGTCAAATCTTAACATTGATGAGGTTTTTTTTTCCTTCCTATCCAGTATCCTAGTCCAGACTCTTCTGCAAATCCAGCACTTCCCAAATTGTATTCAGAGGAGTCCCACTTGAATAAATATTAATAGGTTCTGTAACTAAATAAATAAGTTCATCAGATACTGTATCACTCCCTTCAACTGAGCTATAAGCTTCTTGGAGGCAGGGACCAAACCTTAAACTTTCTTTATACCTCCATAATACCTGGCATTGTGTTATGTGAATACTTGCCGATTGACTTAAATAGGAAGAAGGTAAATAAGATTTTCTCCAGGTTCTGTGAGAGATACATTGTTTATAAATATGCACATGTAGACCTACCTTTATTAGCAGGATATATTGAATTTAAATTTATAACTAACTTTTAACTTGGCCTTTTGTACTTCTGCAACATAATCTTTGTTTGATTTTATTTGTAAGGTACATCTTATTCAGGTTACGAAGCAGCAGTGTATTCAGCTGCATCCTCCTACTACCAACAGCAACAGCAGCAACAGAAGCAGGCAGCAGCGGCAGCAGCTGCTGCTGCTGCAACAGCTGCCTGGACAGGGACCACCTTTACTAAAAAAGCACCATTCCAAAATAAACAACTGAAACCAAAACAGCCTCCCAAACCACCCCAGATTCACTATTGTGATGTTTGTAAGATCAGCTGTGCTGGACCACAGGTACTTATGTTGTATGTTTTACCATGCATCTTTAATGGTTATTTTTGATAGTTAAGTATGTTCCATATTGTAAATCTTGTGCTTACAAAGTAGGTTTACATTTTCTCTACTGTTGGCTTTTAGCTAAGGTGTACATATTTAGCTAAACATTCATCTTTAAAAAGCTATTTGTATTGAGATATGAGAATTCTATTTAGAAAAAACTGTAAAAACAATTATGAATGTAAATGAAGAATGAGGCAAATGGAGCTTTTTTCAAGAAGAATATTTTGCTCTTTAAAACATTAATTTAGATGTTTATATTCAAATTAGTTGGGAGTTTGGGAGTAAGAGTGATTTTTTTTTCCCCTTTGCTTTTTTTAGCATCCATGACTTGCTTTGTAAAGCCTTTATACAAAGCTCTGTAAAGTAGATAATTGCTTACTGTTTTTCTTAGCTTTTCTTCAGGGTCTGTTTTGATTGTATGAGGAGTATACATATAAAATTTTACAGCTGACGTGGGACCATAGAGATAATTCAGTTTTATAGAGTTGCATTAAAGATGAGAGGACTTTCTCAAATGTATTATTCTTCGGAGTATATAAGTAGCAAGAAAGTAATAATGTCTTTCTGGAATATTAGAAAGTCTTTAAGTTCTTTTGATAATCTACAGTCTTCAGGATTGTATTTCTGATGAAACTGACTTTCATGTATGCTTTATAAAATGTTACTTATTCCTGAAATCTCTGTGAAGAAAATAGGAACTTCGGGAACAAGAACAGTAATAGGGAAGGATCTTTTTCAAAAATACCAGTGAAGGAAGTAGGCAAGACTTTTCTTTTCCTCGTTTTGTTTTGTTTTTCTTGGTTGGTAAATCTTAGAATGTGTGATTTAGGTATAAATCTGTTTATAAAAACTAAAGGGCTCAACTCCTTTCTTAGTTGTATTTGTTATTACTTTCTTTAAGAGTACCTAGTTTTTATATAAAAATTTAATAAGCAGTTTGCCTGATAAAAGGCATATTGTTTGAAAAGATGAGATTTTGACCCTAGTAGTTTCTTCCCATTAAATCCATCTATTACTCTTATTCCACCTATGTACATTCTTTTTAATTTACTGGGTTATTTCTGTCTACTTTTTAATACTAAATTTTTTAGTATTTTACCAGTATTCCCTGAGTTTTCACCAAATTAGGGAACATTTTAATATGTGTGGCTAGTTACATAAAACCTACCTCCTTATTTTCAGTGTAATAAGAAGCACTGATTGCAGTTACATGGTGGGGTGGGGGTGCAGATGGGGAATGTTTTCAGGAACCCAGGGTAAACATGAAAGGGAATAAGGATCTTAGTACTTGAATAGTGTATCAGACTCTGCGATGACTGTTTAGAGGGGATGATGTCATGAGTGGCAAATGTGGATTTAACAGATTTCTTGAATATGTGAGAGCCCCTATAAACTATAGAACATGGCACTTAGGTGATAGGTTAACAGCAACATTTGGTATGAGTATATATGAGGCTGACCATTGAATTGAGGATTGCAGGGAGGGGGCTGGATGGCCACATAAGACTAGGCCGGGGGTACTTCTGCAAATCAGAGGTGCAATGCCTTAAAAGATTGATAAGCCTTAGAGGAAAATGTCATTGAGAATGTGAGTTAATGTCCACATTTGGACATAAGGAGGGAGTGTAAGTAGGTTCAGATTTAGGGAGCCAGGTTTCCAGTCCTGGCTAACTGTGTGACCTTAGATGAATCAGAGACCTTAACTTCTTTGGGCTTTTGTTTCTTCACTTCTATAATGAGGACTTGTCCTAAATAAGTGAGCCTCAAACTGCTTCATGGAGCCACTTCAGGCCTCTTCACGTAATGAAAAGAGGATCAAATGGCTGAGCCTTAGAGTCTCTCTTTTGTTTCAAAAACAGAGCAGTTCTCCTTTCTCGTGTGTAAGATTTCATTTGAAGAAAGAGTTCTCCTATTTAAAAACTAGAAAATCACTGTTAATCTCTTAAGTTCCCATCCAGCTCTGAAATTCTACAGTGAACATACGATTGTATGCTAATCATGCCTGTCTTAAAAAATAAAATATAAAAGAGGAACTGTTTGGCCCCACTCAGAATTTTTTTTTAGAAGCCAAAAAACTGCACAGCAGTCCTTATCAACCTTCTCTCATTTCAGTAAACCTGCCTTCTTCAGTCATCTGCGTTCAGGACAGTTTTTAATATAATTTCGTTATTGCATTGGCTAGTATTAAAATAATACTGTTTTTCCTTGCAAATATGTAATACAATTTTGACCCTTATGTATGAAATAGACTTTTGTTCAGGGTAATATGGATTCTTTGAAAATGCATTCTGAGTTAGAAAAGTCAGGCTTATAAACACAACCTATTTTTAAAGTCTTGTTCCTATACTGTAGCTTTCTTCCTTTCTTTCTTTGCTCATGGTGTAGGTACATTCCTCCCCCCTACCCCTATCTTGATCCTGTAACTAAATAATTTCTTTGTGGAATAATCACTGTTTTTTAGCATTCTCTATCAACATTATACATAAGCAATAATGGATGAAAATTCTTGAAATTTGAAAGCAGTTAGCTTATATTGATCTTATGGCTCTGTTTGAAGGTGCTTTATAAGCCAGAGTGTTAAGACAAATGCATTACTCTTGGTAAACAAGGTACAGAGAACCACAGACACAGACGTATTATATATATGCAGGGAATCCCACTTGCTCTTGTTAAGCTGCTTTTAAAATTGTTTAGTGCTCATTTTTAAATGCATATTAGAGATTTGAGAATTGAATACTTTTAAACGACGTAAAAAGAAAATTGCCAAAGCAATTGTCATTTTCTTTGAAACAGACTTACAAAGAACATTTAGAAGGACAGAAACATAAAAAAAAGGAAGCTGCATTGAAAGCCTCACAAAATACCAGCAGCAGCAACAACTCTACTCGTGGGACTCAAAATCAGCTACGTTGTGAGCTCTGTGATGTGTCTTGTACAGGAGCAGATGCATATGCTGCCCACATTCGTGGTGCTAAGCATCAGAAAGTAGGTGGTTTCTTCCCCCACACATCCTGATGTCTTTATTTCTTTTAAGCCTTTTCAGTATGGGTTTAGGTAAAGGTGGCTTCATATTTTGAAAAGTTTGAGTGCATTGTAAGCCTTGCATTATAAGCAGTATACATAGAGATGACGTTGCATAAAGGGGGAAAGACCGTAGGCATTTCTTTAAATTGAAGTACGTCACTTATTCCATTAGTTGGAAATTGTCATCATGTGATTATTTTCCTCTTTCTGTCATGGTTAAATGTAGATGAGTATGTCTAGGGTACAACAATTGGTCTGTATTCACCGGGAGCAAAAGACGAAGAAGAGTCAGGAATAGGAGGAGGATATGGAATGTGTGGCTAATTGCCTCCATGAACAACTGCCTCCTTTGCCATAAGACCAGATAGTACCAGGCTGCCATTACCGAATATTTTGATCAAAGATTCTGTAGAAGAATCTTGATCAAAAAAGGGAAAATACAGAACAGAATTTCAAATTTTTATGGATGACTCCAGATTCTCTGGAGCCATGGTGGCTGGCTGAACACCTGAAACTATTGCCCTGAGATTATATTCAATCATTAAACCAAAAATATCCTTTGAAGCCATCTTAAAACGAAACAGTAGTTTAGCTTAACTAGTAAAAAAGGTCTGCTTTGAGCATTTTCCTCTTTTAAGGATTATCTATATGGGATCAGGTTGACAACAGCAACTCGAAAGATTGAATAGGAACCTTAGGGGGCAGTGAATTTATGTTAATGGTGGAGGACCAACTCAGAAAAGGAGGGTGACAGTGGTTGCACAACTTGAAGAATATAATCAGTGTCGCTAAATGTACGTAGAAACTGTTAAATTGGTATATGTTTTGCTGTGTATATTCTCAACAACAACAACAAAATAGATTTTTTAGTGTAAATGAATATGCATGTGGCCAAGTCATTTCATCTTTCTCTGCTTCAGTTTCCTCACCTAGTGGTAGATGGGATATATATCCCTGTCTCTTTCACAAAGATATTGTGAAAATAATGAGTTTTATGTATAAAAATATATAACAGAAAAATACAACAAAGAAAAATAGCAGTTTGCTTTTTCATTTTATAATGTATTTTAGGAAAAAAACTTAAATCTGTACTATGAGTTTTCTGACAAGTAAATATGCTTTTGTTTTGTAGGTGGTTAAATTACACACAAAACTTGGTAAACCCATTCCTTCAACAGAACCAAACGTTGTTAGCCAAGCTGCTGCTTCAACAGCTGTATCTGCTTCAAAACCAACTGCCTCTACTTCAAGCATTGCAGCAAGCAATTGTACTGTGAATACTTCATCAATTGCAACTTCTTCAGTGAAAAGCTTAACAACTACAGGGAACTCGTCTCTTAATATCACAGCCAATAGTAAAGTGTCTGCACTGCCTACAAATATGGCTGCCAAGAAAACATCTACACCCAAAATAAACTTTGTTGGCAAGTACTAGAGCTTCTCTGTGTTCCTACTATATCACAGTGATGCCTCTCCTGCATTCCAGGACTAGCCCTTCATCTTGTTCTTGGACTGTCTTCTTCCTCCTTTTCCAGGACCTTGTTCTGTCACATATCTCTTCTGATTTTTTTATCTGTCCTCTATTGCTTTCTTCCCCTTCAGTCATAAAGATATACCTGTGTCTTCCTTAGTCTTTTAACACACACCCCACCCCACCTGGACCTTTTTCTTTTCCTCTAATCCTCTCAAGCTACTAACCTAATTCTTACTTTCTCATCTTCTGTACTTCCTATCCAGTCCTGTCTTTTGTAGTGGTTCCACTCTGCTCTTTTCTGAAACTGCTTTCAGGAGTCACTAAAGACCTAATTGCCAAATCCAGCAGCTAGTTTTCAGTTTCATCCTGTAGACCTCTCTAACATTTGACATGGTTGATTACTATACCTTTAAAGCTTAAGCTACTTCTCTCTATTTATTATATGTCTGTCTACCTGTTTCTTGAGTGTCTTTATTGTTTCTTCTGCTTGCATGTCCATTAAATGGTGGTGTTCGTAAGATTCTGACTTTGGCTCTTATGTCACTCAACTTACCCAGTATTTGTGGGCAGTCTCATCCATTCCCATGTGTGTAATGACTTTAAAATCTTTTGGGCAAACTCAGATGCCTACCTGAGTTCCAGAGCTCTGTTTACCCTCATAACCTGTGTGGCCCTGCAGATACCCTCAGTGTCCCACACCAACCCATAGTTGTTGTTATGTGACGTTGAGTCAGTTCCAACTCATAAGGACTCTGTGTACAACAGAAGGAAACATTGCCTGCTTTTGCGCCATCCTCATAATTGTTGTTATGCTTGAGCCCATTGTTGCTGCCACTGTGTCAGTCCATCTCATTAGGGGTCTTCTCTTTTTCACTGACCTTCTACTTTACCAAGCATGGTGTCCTTCTCCAGGGAGTGGTCCCTCCTGACAACCAGTCCAAAGTATGTGAGACGAAGTCTCATCATCCTTGCTTCTAAGGAGCGTTCTGGCTGTACTTCTTCCAAGACAGATTTGTTCTTTCTTCTGACGGTCCATGGTATATTCAGTATTCTTCACTGACACCATAATTCAAAGACATTGGTTCTTCTTCAGTCTTCCTTATTCATTGTCCAGCTTTCGCATGCGTATGAGGTGATTGAAAACACCATGGCTTGTGTCGGGCGCACCTTAGTCCTTAAAGTGCCATCTTTGCTTTTTAACACTTTAAAGGTCTTTTGCAGCAGATTTGCCCCATGCAATGCATCGTTTGATTGCCAAACTGCTGCTTCCATAGGTGTTGGTTGTGGATCCAAGTAAAATGAAATCCTTGACAACTTTAACCTTTTTTCCATTTATCGTGATGTTGCTTATTCAGTTTTGAGGTGTAATCCATACTGAAGGCTGTAGTCTTTAATCTTCATCAGTAAGTGTTTTAAGTCCTCTTCACTTTCAGCAAGCAAGGTTGTGTCATCTGCATAGTGCAAGTTGTTAGTGAGTTTTTCTCCAATCCTGATGCCACGTTCTGCTTTATACATTCCAGCTTCTTGGATTACTTGCTCAGCATACAGTTTGAACAAGTATGGTGGAAGGATAACAACCCTGATGCATACCTTTCCTGATTTTAAACCACACATACTCTTGTGCTATTCAAACAACTGCCTCTTGGTCTATGTACAGGTTCCTCATGACCACAATTAAGTGTTCTGGAATTCCCATTCTTAGAAATGTTATCCATAATTTATTATGATCCACACAGTCAAATGCCTTTGCATAGTCAATAAAACACAGGTAAACATCTTTCTGGTATTCTCTTCTTTCAGCCAGGATCCATCTGACATCATCAGTGATGTCCCTTGTTCCTCGTCCTCTTCTACTTCCACCTTGAATTTCTGGTAGTTCCCTATTGACATACTGCTGCTACCGCTTTTGAATGATCTTCAGCAAAGTTTTACTTGTCTGTGATATTAATGATATTGTTCGATAATTTCCACATTCTCTTGGATCACCTTTCTTTGGAATGGGCACAAATATGGATCTCTTCCAGTTGGTTGGCCAGGTAGCTCTCTTCAGATTTCTTAGCATAGATGAGTGAGCACCTTCAGCACTGCATCTGTTTGTTGAAACATCTCAGTTGGTATTCTGTTAATTCCTGAAGCTTTGTTTTTCACCAGTGCTTTCAGTGCAGCTTGCACTTCTTCCTTCAGCACCATTAATTCTTGATCATATGCTATCTCCTGAAATGATTGGATGTCAACCAATTCTTTTTGGTACGGTGACTCTGTATTCCTTCCATTTTCTTTTGATGCTTCCTGCATCGTTTAATATTTTCCCCGTCAAATCCTTCAGTATTGCAACTCGAGGCTTGAATTCTTTCGTCATTTCTTTCAGCTTGAGAAATGCTGAGCATGTTCTTCCCTTTTGGGTTTCCAGCTCCAGGTCTTTGCACATTTCATTGTAATACTTTACTTTGTCTTCTCAAGCTACCCTTTGAAATCTTCTGTTTGGCTCTTTTACTTCTATCATTTCGTCTTTTCATTTTAGCTACTCTACATTCAAGAGCAAGTTTCAGAGTGTCTTCTGACATCCATTTTGGTCTTTGCTTTCTTTCCTGTCTTTTTAATGACCTCTTGCTTTCACAAAATTATCATGAAATAATCTCATAAAATTACTCCCTTTTTATTGTTATTTCATTTTACTTTTTGCCTCAGACAGTTGTTCACGTGATCCTTTTGTTTCTTGCACTACTATATTTCTCTAAAAAATGTCTTCATTGTCACTGTTTTTAAACTTTTAAAATCTCTGCCTTAGAAGAGATAGGCTATTGCATCCATTCTCTCTTCCAACATGTTCTCCATACTCTTGTCAAAGTCCTTTTTTAAAAGTACATATCAAATTGTGTTAGTCTGCTTAAAAATCTTCAATGGCCTTCCCTTGCATATAGAGTAAAGTTTATATTCCCTAATTGTGTCATATAAGGCCCTTCACAATCTGATCATTGCCTGCCTTTTCATTTCCAGCCTCATGTCTTCACCACATTACCTGAGTAGTAATTCATACTGAGTTTACTGTCTCTCCTTGAGTTTACCGTAGTCCTTTTAACTCCGTGTTGTGCTTTTTTGTAACATGCTATTCCTTCTGTTTAGAGAATCATTCTCTTCCTTCTGTTTGACTGATTCATACTCATTACTTTTCTTTCAAAGCCCAGCTGAAGTGTCATACCCTTTGTGAAACCTTCCCTAAGTGGATCCTGTTAAGCGATAGTAGTTCCTTCCCTCTACATTCCCATAATACTTATGACAGCACTTATCACATTCTATTATAGTTATTTGTATCTTCCCCTAAGTTGTGAGCACCTTAAAGGCAGCTACATTGTCTTACTATTATTATATTATCAGAACCTAGGACAGTGCCCAGAATGTAGTAGATTTTTTAAAATATTTTGAGAGATTTAAAGCAGAAAATTCACAATTAATATGGTATTCTCTCAAACAGTGCTAAGTATAATTAAGGATTAAAATGAAAACCATGATTTATATTTACTTTTTTGGTTTTTGAGGTTATTCATACTCTCTTCAAAACAACAAAAAATATTTTGAAAATTTTTGTGTACGTTTCAGGTCTGATTTCAGTAGTAATAAGTTAAAGGAAATAAGCAGTGATAAAGCCTGAATTTATTTCATTTCCATCCTTAATGGAAAACTAGATTTGAATTTTTTATTAAAAAGTTTTCAATGAAAACTAGTCACTGAACTTATCTTTTTTTAGAGGAATAAATGTTATTCATTTGTTTTATCATTAGGTAAGAAACTAAGGGTGTAAGCATGAATTAGATTTTGTCCCTACCCTTTCAGATACTTGCTCTTCAGATTAGGTATTTGATGTTATGAGATCTAAGGTGAGGTGGCAGGGGAGAGATGGGGTGTTGGGAGGTGGAAAAGGGAATAATTCAAGAATTCATTTCATTAATAGGAAAAGCTAAATGGTTTATGTGGTCCTTAAAAATTCTGTTCTTTTGTATGTCAAGCAAGAGTTTGACCACTGATAGGAAAGATAAGAACTTAAAAGTTTTTATTGTAGCAACTTTATACGTTTATACAAAATGAAATTTAAAATTATTGTAATTCTTTTATGCTTTTCTAGGTGGTAATAAGCTGCAGTCTACAGGAAATAAAACAGAGGACTTAAAAGGAACTGAATGTGTTAAAAGTACTCCTGTCACTTCTGCTGTGCAGATGCCAGAAGTAAAACCAGACACAGTATCTGAACCAGTCACACCTGCATCCCTGGCTGCTTTGCAAAGTGATGTGCAGCCAGTGGGCCATGACTATGTGGAGGAGGTATTGATTTGAGAATACCACTGCTGTGAGGTTGGGGAAAGGGAAGAAGCATGTCACTTTGTATGTTTGGCAGCATGTCTGACATGTGTAATTAAATTATACTCAGTTGTATTTTAATTTACTTGTGAAAGATACCAAAGAGGTCTTTGTTAAGGGGCTTTAGAAAGTATACCCTCTAAGCTTACCAAAGTCACATCACAATTCTTTTGTTGACTTTTATATCCCTTTCCCTTCTAACTCTGTCATTGTGGTGGAAAGTAACTTTCCATTTATTTGGCAGACATTCTTGTAGTATATCCTTCTACTGTCCGGAGCACAGAAGTAAAAGAATTCTGAGCAGCAAAAATGTTGACAGAGAGCGCTAATATTTCTCTTTCTGAACAGTCATTTAGTTTCGTATGTAAAATTAAGGTTGCTGATTTAACAGACCCTGTTTATTTTGGTTTCTTAAGTTATCAGGCCTCTTCCTAATTTACAGGGATAACTTGCTGTAAGTAAACTCAGTAAAGTGGAGGAGTGGTAGCTATGAGTGAGGGAACATCAGAGGAGCTTAGTAAATATTTGTTACTTACCATCACTAATGTGTTTTTGATAAATATTTCTGTTCCTTCGTGGAGAAAGATTACATATTATGTTTTAAAAATTATAGACATTGCCACACAATTTTTTTTCACCTCAAATCTTAATCACAGCTTTTCTTTCTCAGGGAATCCGTGAGGGTTTATGAATGACATCTTCTATTGTAACATTTCTGCTCTGATTCTTAAAAAATATATTTCTTTCCATATCAAGGTACGAAATGATGAAGGAAAAGTAATTCGGTTCCATTGTAAATTATGCGAGTGCAGCTTTAATGATCCCAATGCTAAGGAAATGCACTTAAAAGGACGAAGACACAGACTTCAGTATAAAGTTAGTAAAGTTTCAATTATTGCTTTCTATTTTTTCCACAATTCAGGATATTCTAGATGTTGAACAAAGCATCTAAACATAACTCATCTGTCTGTGAACTCCCATTCTAAGATTAATATGTCATATTGATTATATTATCTTATTGTATAACCTAAATAGGCTCAAATGTTTGGTTTTTATTGATTAGTTTGTTGTACTTAGAACAATATAATCATATTCTTACCATTTTTAGTGACTGGCAAAATAATACTAACATTGCTTACATCAAGTAATCATGTAAAGATGATTGCTTGACATAGGGTATTTGAAAGAAGTGTCAGGTCTCCACTTACCTTCTTGTCAAATGTGTCAAAGGGTAGTACTTTTATATGATAAGAAACTTTTTCACCCCCAACTCAGACATTTACAAGCATCTTTTTACAAGCATGTGAAGGAAAATTAAGTTTTATCTGTCAGTCCCCTGAGGATTTCAGATGAGTTTTTATTGGTCAGCACTAAGTGCTTTTTACAAACTAAGTATGTATTTCTAAACTTAGATTAAGAATTTTTATTAATTCTGAATCCTTCCTCTGATTCTACTTAATTATAATGATTTTAGTCTATAAAAGGGTATTTGCAAGGCTTTAGGAGGAAAGGATACGTGGACATATATGATCAAAAATAAGTGTAGATTGTTGGGAACTGCTAGTTTTTTCAGTGTCTTGTCTGTGTTAACAGAAAAAAGTAAATCCAGATTTGCAAGTAGAAGTGAAGCCCAGTATTCGAGCCAGAAAGATTCAGGAAGAGAAAATGAGGAAGCAGATGCAGAAGGAGGAGTATTGGCGAAGACGAGAAGAAGAAGAACGCTGGAGAATGGAAATGAGGTGATAGTTCTAACTTGTAATAGCATGATAATAAGTGATTCAGCCTTTCTGAAATCTTAGTTGTTCTGGGTGTGTGGCTCCTCTTCAAAGCAATACTGATTTATTTAATGTACTTACAGTTTTCACTTTTCAGAAAGATCCTAGAATCTTTCTGAAATGCATTCAGAAATGCTTTAAAATTAAGTTATTGGCTATTCTAATATTTTATTATGGCCATGGTATTAGCAATTATGTGATAACTGGTATCTTATGTATATTACATGCTTGCCTTGGTTTAAAACAAGCAAAATAGAGCATATGGTTATCTGATTACCATATCCTGAATATAAGATTTGATATATTCTTAAACTATGTTTTTTTTTTCTTTCCAGAAGAAATTTCTATTATAGAAACCTAGAGGCTACAGTGAAGGAGATGAGAAAACATGTCATCTTCTAGAGTTTTTTTTTTTTAAATTTAAATCTTAAACGTTTTATTGAGATACACCTCACATACCTTTAAATTGTACCAGTCCCGTATTTTGTTTTGTTTTTGTATGTTCATAGAATTGTGCACCATCACCTCAGTCAATATTAGAACATTTTTATCACTCCCCCCAAAAAACTCCAAACCTACTGCTAGTCACTCCTCATTTTCCTCCTGACCTCTCCCTCCAGCCATAGGCAACTACTAATCTGCTCACTCGCTTTCTCCCTATGTTTGCATATTCTGGACAGTTTATTTAAAATGGGATCATATAATGTGTGGTTTTTGTGTCTGGCTTCTTTTACCTAGCATAATGTTTTCAGGGTTCACCCATGTTGTAGCATATATCAATATTTCATTCCTTTTTATGGCTGAATAATACTCCATTGTATAAAGGTGTACCACATTTTGTTTTCCGTTAATCAGTTGGACATTTGGGTTTTTTCTGCTTTTTGGCTATAGTTAATAGTGCTGCTGTGAACATTTGTATACAAGTGTTTTAATACAGTTTTTTAAATATGAACAAGAGTACTGTACACATATTTTATAACCACTTTTTTCATTTGCATATATATTTAACTTTTTTTATTTGGTTAGGATTATTTTTATCTTATTTTTCATGGCAGCAAAGTATTCTGTTGTTCCGACGTAAAATTTTCTTTCTAAGCAGTCCCATGTTGATAGACATATAGTTTCTTTCCAGTATTTTCCCTCTTACAATTATATTGACTATCCTTAAGTCTGTGTTAGTGCGTATTTCATGATTAGTTGCTTATAATATCCCAGAAATGTTTGATGGACAGATAGCTACTTCTGCCTCTGCTGTATAGTATAAGCCAGTGGTTCTCAGACTTGGTCCCAGGACCCATTTATACCCTTAATAATTACTGAGGACTCCAAAGAGCTTTTGTTTATGTGTGCTGTATCTGTCGATTTGATGTTAAAACTGAGAAACTTTTAAAATATTTATTAATTTGTTTAAAAATAACATTCTATTTAACTGTATATTGAAATATAGTTAAATATAATGTACTTACTAATTATAATATTAAATGTACTTAATAAATACAATACAGTGAAAAGTAACTGTAAAACTGTTTCTTCCATTTTTCAAATCTCTTTAATATCTGGCTTAAGAGAAGGCACCAGAATTCTCATATCTGTTTTTGTGTCCAGTCTGTTGCAATGTCACATGTTACATAGCCTCTGGAAAACTCCACTATATACTCATAAGAGAATGGGAAGAAAGAAGAGCAAATAATGTCTTAGTATTATTACTTTGAGAACCACTGCTATAACTTGTTAAAATCTCTACTAGTGATAGAGTGAAATGTGATAGCTATTTTTGTTTCCATTTTGAATCATTCTTTAAACTGACAAAGTTTTATTTCATGTTTGACCATTTATATTCTGTGGTAAATTGACTGTCCATTTTTGACTTAACCTCTTGTTGATCCTTATAGACCATCTTATAACATAGCTATTAACTGTTTCTTGTGTGTTACATTTAAGTAGTTCTTGCTGTCATTTATGTATCAATTTTTGTATTTATGTCTTTAAAAACAAAGTTTCTTCCTTTGTAATGCATTGTAAGTTCTTCAGTATACCTAGATGATATACTTATTTTCTTTTTCATTGATACATCAGATATTTACTAAGCACCTAGTCTGTGCCAGGTACTGTGTTAGGCACCGAGTATACATTGGTAAACAATGGATAAAGATCCCTGTCCTCATTTAACTTAAACATCTTTGGCAATAACAGTGAGGTATTCAAAACTAGAATGAACATGGTTTTCCGGAGCCTTCAAGCTGTATTTATTCATTTTCCTTCAAGGCCTATGGACTATGGAAAACAAAGCACTCCTTATTCCCAACCTGAGGAAATTGGTGGTTTTCTAGAGTTGTAGTTGAGAAGCATACTTTTATGTTTTATATTAAACTGATTTGTCAAGGAAAATATTGTCACCAAAATTTGCTTTAGATACCTGGTTTCCCTTAGGAGTTCTTTGATATTCTAGATTGAAGATAAAAGTGAGGATAAAACTGAGAGGGGATGGTGAACAAGAAATAGGAATAGATTCTGAGAATATTGACCATAAAGCAGAGGCTACACGCTAGCTGCGCATAGTCCAGATTCAACCCCTGGGTGGGTTTTATCCTGTATACAAAAGAAAAAGCCAAACCCACTGCCGTTGAGTCAGTTCCCAATTATAGTGACCCCGTAGGCTTTCCAAGGCTGTAAATCTCTATGCAAGTAAACTACCACATCTTTCTCCTGCGGAGCTGCTGGTGGTTTCGAACCACTGACCTTTTGGTTAGCAGTCAGTCACTTTAACCACTGTGCCACAAGGGCTCCTTTGTTCTGTATACATGGTATTAGTTAATCTGAATCAACATTTAAAGACAGTGCTATTTCACAAAAATCGTGATGACCTTGGCAGTGCAGCCTGTATTGCTTTATGGCAGCAATTAGCAGGAGCTAATTAGCAGCTGTCTTCTTTAGCCAGGAGACGCGCTTTCTACTTTACCATAGTCATTGCCACCTTTAATGTGTCATTAACAATGAGACTAATTGTCAGTTGCCATATATTGCTGTGCTTGCACTGTTGTTTTTCCTCGTGGTAGGGAAATGTCTTTGTCTATGTCTGTATCATAAGTTTGCAAATGAAATAGGTTTAACCTGTACAGTGCGGTAGGTTCTCTCTAAGGCATGAATAGGAGTGAGCTCATTTCTTGCGGGGCGGGGGTAGTGTTGAAGAAAATTCCTGAATGTCTCATGCACACATTGGGACTTTCACTCACATGCAGTACTGGTTTGGCCTCTGTGGCAATTTGAGTTTACAGTCTGTACCTTAAAAGGGGAGAGGTTTCTACTTTGTCCTCAAGCTGTGAGATATTGTTCTACTTTATTTTTTCGCCTTTCCTTTTCACTTCCATTTGCTTCTGGATGAAAGCATATAAGGGAAACCAGATACAGTATGGAAGAAAAAATATGTTCGCTAGGCTGATTTTTTTGTTTAAACTGCTTTTTATGTCATTTATTATTGATGCAAATATTTTGTGTGTGTTTTTCCTCATACGCTTGTAATGTCATTCTTTATTTCAGACGTTATGAGGAGGATATGTATTGGAGAAGAATGGAGGAGGAACAGCATCACTGGGACGATCGCCGCCGAATGCCTGATGGAGGCTATCCTCATGGTCCTCCAGGCCCCCTAGGCCTTCTTGGAGTCCGACCAGGCATGCCTCCTCAGCCGCAGGGGCCTGCAGTGAGTGTCTACTTCGCTTATGTAAAGAGTGAAAGGTTTAAAGCTGGTGCAACATTAGAAGACGATGTGAAGTCCAGTTCTTAGACTTAATAACCTCATAATAGTTTTTCATCTGACGTAGAATTTTCCCTACTTTTATTACAGTTTTCAGTTCACATGTTTATAGGCACTATTTAAGGACTTCATAGCATTTTCAGGAATCTTTCTTATTTTCAGTATAAGCCAAATGGGAGCAGTACTTCTTTTCCCAACTGTTCTTTCACATAAAGATATTCTGGTCATTGTTGTTCCTTAGATTAGCAAGGGAATAAAAAGTAATTACGCTTTCTGTTTTGCCTTAAAAATTCTTAACTATTTTCCCATTATCGGCAATCTAGAATATCTTTTTCTTTAAATCCTGACCATCTAAAACCTCCTTTTTCCTCTAAATGGGGTATGAAGGATAAGGGGTAGATAAATGGTTCAAGATGAGCACCACAGTTAAGGTACTGGGAAGACTAGGAAAGACCTGCATCTTGATAATTTGAGTTCTCGTGAAAGCTGGGTAAAAGGAAAGAGACACCTGGGTTATGAGAAACATCTTGTATAAGTTTAGATTATGGAAAACAAAGGATTTTTTGTTTGTTTTCTAGAGAGCAATTTAAGAAAGCAGCAAAGTCTTACCTATTCTCTTTCATTTGTTTTTGCACAGAGCCTTGAATTATCGAAAGCAAAGAAAGATTCAGAATCACTGGTTTTTAAAGTTGAGTCAAAAGCATTTTCATAGCCTTAGGTTATGTGTATTTTAATTTTGCCTGTTTTGAAGTGTAGCATACATATATAGTCTTGATTTTAACTTTTCACAGTTCGCATTTTTGTTTTTACTAAAATGGAAAAAAGGAGAAGATAGTTTTAAATGGACATTTTGCGTAATTGATTTGCTTTCATATTGACAAGATATAACAAAAATATGCATAGTTGTAAACTGTTTACTTTTGGTTAGGAAACTTTTTTTTTTAAGTGAAATAACAATTCTTTTTCCTCTGTAGCCCTTGCGTCGTCCTGACTCTTCTGATGACCGTTACGTAATGACAAAGCATGCAACCATTTATCCAACTGAAGAGGAGTTACAGGCAGTTCAGAAAATTGTTTCTATCACTGAGCGTGCCTTAAAACTTGTCTCAGACAGTTTGTCTGAACACGAGAAAAGCAAGAACAAAGAAGGAGATGACAAAAAAGAGGGCGGTAAAGACAGGTGTGTTTTAAGTTATTTAATTTTATTTTACCTTACATTGACTTCTTAGACTTGTAATAAAGATTACGAAGACTAATCACTCTTTGGTGTGAGTACATGTCTTACTATGCTTGTGTTAAATGTTTTATATATTCATCTGCTTTTTGCTTAAATGAGAAATACGTATAGTCTCAAACCTTGTAATTGTACTCATTTTATGTAAATGTACATATTTTGAACCCAACCTTTTTAGTTTTCTAATTGCGCTTAGCTGCTGTTTTTCAATTTTTATTTGTCACATCTGTCACACAGTTTTTGTTTTTGCAACTTCTTTTTCCTTTAAGCACCACCATTAAAGTATGAGTAAGCCCAAGCTTTAGTATTATCTTTCATGTCAAGCTTGCATTCTTATGGGTTACTTTTCTTTTCCCTTTATCATTTAGAAATGTATTTGTATTATATTTAACATGACTTTTATTAATCTAATGTGCAAAGTGAGGAACAGAAATGTTAGTGTCCTTTGCTTTGTAGTTGTCCCTGTGAGAACTTAGCTCTTGATTTACCTATCCATATTTCTTACCTAGATAAAGTATAATTCAGAAACACTGTAAGTTCGGCTGCTAACCGAAAGGTCAGCGGTTCGAATCTACCAGCTGCTGCTTGGAAACCTTAGGGGGCAGTTCTCCTCTGTCCTGTAAGGTCACCATGAGTCGGAATTGACTCAACGGCAGTGGGTTTGGTTTTTTGTTTTTGGTGTATAAGCACTCAATAAATGTTAGCTATTTCATATGTGTTGATATTTTATAAATATTCAGTAAGTAACTTTAAAAAGACTGAATGTTTTTCTGCTGTAATTGGTGAAATTTTGCAAGTATAGAAGTTATTTCATTACTGTTACGTGTTTAGAGGTTATCGTGGTTCTAGCTAAGAAGAGAAATATCAGAATATATTTGATTTCACTGCAGAGCTTTGAAAGGAGTTTTGCGAGTGGGAGTATTGGCAAAAGGATTACTTCTCCGAGGAGATAGAAATGTCAACCTTGTTTTGCTGTGCTCAGAGAAACCTTCAAAGACATTATTAAGCCATATTGCAGAAAACCTACCCAAACAGCTTGCTGTAAGTGTTGTGAAAATGTTAATTTTTACTCCTTGTCTGTCTTTGGCAGGACTAACTGTGCTTCAGTTTAAACGTAGGCCAGCCTTTGAAATTTCTGGCTTGATTTTCCATATTGAGTTTTTTGCTTGATTATGAAAACTGGTAGAACTATTTTCTATTTTGTCTTTTAAGGTTTTGTAGTGCTTGTATTTGGCATGAAATCATCTTCGTAATTTATTTCAGAATATAAGATTGCAGCATATGTCCTCGTCCTGTTCTTTTTCCAAGATTTAAATCATAAGAAAGAAGGCAGTTGTTCTGGACAGAAAGTGATTTTTTTTTTTTTTTAAAAACAGAGCCCATGTATAGCAAGCTCAGAATTATTTAAATTCATGAAACTCTCACCTATTTAGTTGAATACATGTTTTTAATAAAATATAGCAACTAATATCCTCAACTTTATTGTGAATATCTTTATTTTTATACGTGTTTATGGTGGTAGAAATTATTTCTCCTGTCTTCATCCAGCAAATCATGGCAGTTCATAATTAATAGAGCATTTCCTTTTGGTTCTACAAAAGCAAACTTCTAAGTTTTTTTTTTTTAATTTTATACATTAGTTTTTCAGAATGACATGAGATTTGAAATAACGATTCTTTGAATAATTTAAGTTACAAGATTTATGTCAAATCCCAGAATTTAATTAGGCATTCTAAATCCAAGGATTTAACATTTTGTTGGTAATGTGTCAGTCAGACTGGCAATTTCTATAATAATAAGCGAGAATAGTACCTGACCACAGCAGAGCAATTGATAGTAAAAGTGACAGGAGGCACACTGTTGACTTAAGCTCTGACAACTCTGACACTTGCTGTTGTTAGTTTTATCTTAATATTGGTTCAGAAATTCTGTGTTGTGGATGAGGCTTTTTAAGTATTAGGACCCAGCAGAATTGACTTTTTGTATGTCTGTTTTTTACCCCTCTGTTGAGGCTGTTAAAGGCAGTGAGCAGGGAGAAGAAAAGATTTGGGAGTCTTAGAAGAATTACAAAATTTGCAAGAAATATCTTGTTCCTGATTATAGTGATTAGTAAAACTGCAAAGCAGAAAGTATTATATTCTAACTAAATAACAGTTAAGCTAAAATCAGAACACTCTTCAAATTAGCCTTTTCTTATCATACAAGTGGATAAACACGAGAAATAAAATTAATAATAATAAACATTTATGAAGTACTGTGTACCAGGCACTGTTTTAAGTAGTTAATTCATTTAATCTTCCAACAGCCCTATAGGATAGGTACAGTTATCATCTCCGTTTTTACAGAAACAGAACCAGAGGAGTTTAATTTGCCCATATTCACATTGCTAGTAAAGTAGGAGAGCTAGAATGTGAACCTAGATGCTATGCTCTAAACATTACGTGTAATTTCTGTGTAGTCTTAATTTGTTCATATAAACAGATTTTGCACAAGTATACCAAATCTCAGTGAATATTGGTTTTTCTTGGTATTAACCAGGGTACCCTGCCCCTTGATAATGTAGATCTGTTGATTTCACAGAGAATGTACAATGGTGAGGGTCAAATTATGGCTCCTGGTAGGTTAGGTACCTACGCATATAACACACGCCTTCTATGTTTTTTTGCCAACTGTGCCATTCCCCTGTGAGGTATTTTCGTAAGCACCACTATGCCAATTTTTTTTTTTTTTTTACATATTACTGTAAAAAAAATAGCATAGCGCTCTTACAAAAATAACTCATGGGGGGATGGTACGGTTGGCAAACAAATGTAGGTGAGCGTTATTTGCATAAAATGCAGCGTTTCATTCTTATTCAAATTCTGCACATATATGGGTACTTAACTACCAGATGCTATAGGAAGATACAGTGATAAATTTGGCAGCGTTTCTTTTATTCAGGAATTCATTATGAGAGACATGCACAAATAACTGTTGCTGCAAACAGTGATAAAACAAAGAATTCTAATAGTAAGGAGGGACAAGAAATTAGTATTTGCATTTATGGCACAGCTTCTTAAGAGGGAGTAGTATACGATCTAGTTCTTATAGAATAGTTAAGTAGCTGTTGATGTACTGAGAAAGAGAAAGCCGTAATAAGATTGCTTTGTCTGATGATGCAAAAAGATCCAACTAATTTCTTGTAATCTTTATTACATAGGTTATAAGTCCTGAGAAGTATGATATAAAATGTGCTGTATCTGAAGCGGCAATAATTTTGAATTCATGTGTGGAACCCAAAATGCAAGTTACTATCACCCTGACATCTCCAATTATTCGAGAAGAGAACATGAGGGAAGGAGGTTGGAAAGCCATTAAACATCCTACTTTTCCGTTAACTATTTTCATTCATTTACCTATTCTTTAAGATGGCATTAAGCCCTAGAAGGCAACATGCTGGCATTACATATGAATTTGATAGATTTCACTTAATTAGCACCCAGTTTTGCTTAAGATCATTTCCTAGAAAGTAAATGTTCTTTTTGGTAATGTATTTTTATATAAAACACTCATGGTATGATTGGTTTGCTTGATTTGTTTCTTTTCTTGCTAACCTCAGATTTCTGGAAACCAGCATAGTCAACACATTAAAAATTAAAGAAATGTTACTGGTAACTAGGGGCCTCAACTTTAACTTCTATTAAGAAGTTCTTGGCTTTTGCCTTGTCTTCCAAAAAAAATGAAGAGTTTCAAAAACAAATCTGGTTAAATACTCATAAAAGACATTGGTTGTGTATGTAATCATGGATTTGGCTTGTCCTGAGGTAAATGTTTCTAGTTCTCTGAGGTTGCTTTTTGGTTTGGAGTGCTTTCGTAAATGCAGAGCATCCTAACACATGCAGATTTGGGTGTTTGACCCCAATATTATAATAGAGATACTGAAATAATAAGTGGTGTAGTTAGTTATAGTACAATTCAGTGTTGTTAAACTTAGTTTACAAATGTAGACTATGAAATCCTACTGGTGCCAGCAATGTTGCTTTAGGGACTGTTCTGTAACATTTTCAAAGCTTCAAAAGCTTTTAAGCCAAAAAGCATGATCAGTGTCTGCAATATGTTGGTTCTATTGTTTTATGGGTCAGATAAAATTTACTTTGTTTCCTTTCATGTTGTTTTCATGCATTTTAACATGTTGTGTATGGAGTTAATAGTCTACACTAATATTTCTTTGTGATACAGATTGAGGAGAAAAGGATACTATATAATGAGTATTAAAGTTTATTTTGATAAAATAGCATCAATAAGCTCTCAATTCTGTCCCTTTAAATTTGTTTTCTTATAGCAAAGCAATTTTTTAAGGCACTGGGATTTCCACAACCCAGGAAAAGAACATTTTACAAAAAATATAATCACTGGGGGACTTATCTTGTATACTTTGTATGTACACCATATCAGGACTTGTATGTTGTATTATATCACTTCAGCTTTGCATCTTAAAGATAAATGAGTTTTGTGTAAAGATCTTTTATGTGAACATGAGTTTCTAGTCAAGGTCTGGCTATGGATATTGCTGGAAAAATAGTTACTAAGTTAATTTGATCAAGTCATATGCAGTATATGACTCTTTACTTAGGGTTTGGAGAAGGAATCTTCTACTAGTAGGCTTTATTACAAATAAAAGTTGCTGTATTTAGAGTGAAATTCTATTCATATAACCATTTACTTAACACATTTTGTCCAATTATATTTAGGATTAATTAAATATGTACTTTTTGAGGCCATTTTATTGTGTTGCAAAAGTCTAAAGTTGGTAATACCATATTTTCAGTAGATTCTTTGATAACCTATCCCTTCTAAAGGAAACAAAATTACATTTTTGTCTGACCCAGACTTGAGTTAGGATTATTGTTCTGAATTTCATAAATATTATGGTGAGGGAAATGACCAGTCTGAAATTGAAAGATTGTACTTCAAGACACTGAGCTGAAAAGTTGGACATGCAAAAAGTGCAGAAACATTGATAGAGTGTTCCTTGCTGCAGATAACTGCAGTAAACCGTGTTTTAGCTTATTATGAAGAGTGCTTCTTTCTTGCTGCAGAATAACGGTATGTATTCTCTCTCACTGCAGCTCCCAATGCTCTGTGTCTTAAAATCATTTAAAGCATATAGCTTGCTTTCAGAAATTAGTACAGGGGATAAGGAAGGCTTTGCCGGAAGAGCAATTATAAATCAAGAGACTTATGACTTGCGCATAGTGTGATAGCCTCTTTAACGCGTAATGGTCCTGTTTAATACCAAAAATTCTTTTAAAAGGAAATGATTAAATTGCCAAAATAACTGTTAAACGCATGACAGATCTGTTTTATAGTACTGTGTTTGACAGTTAAACATTAAGTAAACATTTAATTGACTTAAGTTTGAAATGTTCAGAATGCTCTAACCCTTGCTACAGAGTCTTTTCTGGAGCAAGTCAAGTATTGTGTGTGTTTTTTTCCACTTGTAGCGTATCAGGCCCGGTCCAAAGCCTTCTAGCAGAGGGGAGTGATTCCTGTCAGGGGTTGCTGCCAATACATCGGAAGGATTTTTGACCAAGGTTTTCAAAAGCTCAGTGTCACACCTGCCATTTGATTAAGGAGGGATTTTGGATGCAGAGTCTGGCATTTATTGTCCCTTTGTGTGGCTATTTTGTTTGTTTTGTCTTTGTCTCTTCTAGAATTAAGCAGTGTTCACACTAGTTTTTAAATGGTTGGGTGGATTATATATTTTACATAACCATGTTAAATTAATATATACCCATTAACTTTTAATGATAAAATAGTGTGGACACAGCATGTCTTCTAACTGGTGATTAACCCCTTAAAGTTTAGGAAATACATTCATATAGGGTAAGAATTTGCATTTTGTTTTCATAAATTAACCGATTTTTGTTTCATTTTGTTTTGTTAACTGGGTTTAGGCAACAAGTATGATTTTAGCACAATACATCTAAGGGGTTAATCCACTTGAAATATAAAATGGGTGCAAAAATCCACACTCTAAATTTAACAGAGATCTCCTACTTACAGCTTTAATTTGTTTTTAAATTACAATAGGTGCCTTGGCATCTTTGAACTTGTATCATTAATTAAAATTTCCAAAGTTATCAGTACTTCTGTGCAAAAAGAAATTTTTTTTTTTTTTGTATTGGAGGAAATTATAAAACTTTAAATTAACCTTAGAAATTTAGAAACTCTTTATAGAGATTGCATATTGTCACCTATTTGCATTCTTCCTTTAGCAAATAAGTAAATAAGGGACATGGAAAGAGGTCCTTGAGCAAATTCCATAAGCCCGGCTTTGGAGAGTGGGTTCGTTGTTGGTAGTATTGTTTTCTCCGCCCCGCCCCCATTCCTTAATTAGCTGTGCTTTCTGTGTCCCTTCTCTTTATCCTAAAATAGCCCATTTCTTATGTTCAAGTTATTTCTGAATTCAGTAGTTGGTCTTGGGGATTTTGAGATACTTTTTACTAATATTTTTGTCTTGGTAGTTTCTTTTAGCATCTAAATTGCTCTTTAAGTGTTCATTCTCACAATGCCACATAGTTGGTTTTTTGGTTTGTTTTGTTTTTTTATCATTTGTAAATCTTCCTTCTCTGTATTCTGAAAAATCTGTATCCATCTGATTGTTTGAGGAGTAAAAACTAGAGAAAGCCCAGACAAGGGATGGAATTCTTTATCAGTTTTAAAATATTTTTTTTTATATGTCATTTGCTCAAAATAAGTACATCAAGTATCAAGATTTCTGAATGCTCATATAAACTGTACAGGCAAATGACTTATCCAGAGTTGTAACTGGTGCTCTAAAATTAAATCTTAACCTTTTCTTTCTTTTATTATGTATTTCTTCTTTTGTACTCCATGTTCATTGGATGCCCTCAATAATTTATGAAACTATATCCTAAATGACCCATAATTTTGGTGCTCTTTAGCCAGAGGACAGTTAGGGTCAATAGATGACTTACCTAATACATCATTTTTCTATATTTAAAAAATATACTATTAAAATCACCAAGAGCTGTGAATTAGATTGGATTAAATGCTGTTTGCTTGTTACCAGTTTGATTAGCAAATTTACTATTATTTTTATACATGTTTTACAGATGCATTTAGATAAATATAAAGCTGGCTCTTCAACTACTTTTGTTAGTGTAAAGTTATTCTAGTCCTAGTGTAGGTCCAGATTTTCTTAAGTTTTGTGGAGCTTATTTATGCTTTAATAAAATAATATAATTCAAATCCATTACTGTAACTGATTTTATAACTTAAAAGACCCTGCATATTATTTATCATCAAAGCATTCTGCTTGTTGCATCTCTTTTGTAGTTACTCTGTTTAACCATGCTGGTTCCTATTGTCCTTTTCTGCTTTACCCATTGTTTCTCTCCAGCTGTTCTTTGGAAAACTTTGAATTTTAAAGGGCATTTTATGTTTCTTTTTAGCTAGAATTCCCTTGTGGAAGAGAAAGCGTTGAACTAACCTAGAAATGCCTATTTTTTCATTCATCATTTTTTTCCTATTAGTATATTGATCATTTCATGTTTATCATCAGTTCTCTGCTGTATTAGCCCCAGAATAACCTATGACCATTTAGAATACCCAACAAATTTTCAGTGGTTTATCGTACATGCTCATTATTAAGGTGGATTTTTGTGTTCCCTCTTGTCTTTGTGCTGGTGCACTGTGTCCAGTAATCCTTCCTTTAGGTGTTATTTTGGTGGGTGGGTTTTATTTTTCCAGAAATTATTACTAAATACAGTATTTCAGTCTCTCTAGTGTAATTAGAAAGTAAATTTAAGAGTTTTGCTGAATTCTGCCTTTGATTGTCATATCAGATTAAGTAAATTTGTTGAAAATAACTCCCTGGGTACATTAAAGTACTGATAAACTCTCAAATGGCTCGTGTGACATTGATGCTACTTTAAGGAAGTGTCTTGCTCACCTGGTCAAACACCCATTCCTCACTGCATTTTGCCAATTCAATCCATTTTAGATGTAACCTCGGGTATGGTGAAAGACCCACCGGACGTCTTGGACAGGCAAAAATGCCTTGACGCTCTGGCTGCTCTACGCCACGCTAAGTGGTTCCAGGTTCGGAACATCATTTTACTTTTTTCTTGTAGCCTTATGAGAGAGTAGGTCAGTACAATATGTTTAACTGTGTTTAAACATTTCAAAAGATTGCCCAGGCAATACTATTTTAAATTAAATCTCAGAAAATATGTTAACATAGAAAGCTGGGTATGAAGATCTGCATATTGCAGTTACTATTGATTTGACAATAAACTTACTTTGGGGGGTATTTTGTAGTTTTGGGTTTTTTTTATTTTGAGTGAGTATATATTTAAAGTTGACTTGTTTAGGAAGATCACATGTTTGTGTTTATATATTATATTCCATAAGGCTGCAGATTAACTTTGCTTTAAATAATGGAATATGTGTTTAAAGCTTTGTGTATAGTTTTAAGATTTTTTTCCCCTCTTTCTCTAAGTTAATAAGTGTAGGGAGTGAAAGGTGAGGAAGCAGCTGTTTGGTTTAGTGACTTTGCAGTCATGCAAAGGCACAGAAAGGAAACCAAACAGATTTCCTTAACCTTTCAGTCCCTAGACAAACTTTTTAGCTCTTTACTTTTTCTTTTATTTCTAATGTAGGCAGATTATTTTTTAAGTTTACTGTTATAAGTGAACACAGGTCAAAGTTCACAGGGGATCAAGAAATATTATTCTTGTATAACCTGTTTACTTTGACCTACAATACCAACTTTTAAATACTAACCCTGGCATAAAATATTGCTGTAAATGGCAGCTCATTGAATCCAATTTTAAGTGTGATTATTTTTGTTTTATTTTTATCTGAGCTTCCATTCAACAGTGGTATTTTAATTTCTTTTCATCAAGGGATTTTTTTCAGTATTTCTGAGAGTAATTCACTTGATGTTTATGTTGCTCTCAAGGCTAGAGCTAATGGGCTGCAGTCCTGTGTGATTATCATACGCATTCTCCGGGACCTCTGTCAGCGAGTTCCAACTTGGTCTGATTTTCCAAGCTGGGTGAGTAGTATGTAACTGTGTGGTGTGAAACAAACATTTAGGAAATATCTCTGAAGTTATATTTTTATCCTTAAGCTTACATTTAATTATCATTTTTATTTTTATATTCTAAATAAAGTCTCTTCTAGTGAGAAATCCTAGGCGTTTCAGAGTTGTTTAGTTTAAATTTTTCAGAGTTTACTAATTAAAGAATTGTATTTGATGTTTCTTTTTGTATTTTCCTTTTTTGTTATTGCTCTTCTCCCAGTGTTTGTTAATTTTTTAAAAAATAATACAGTAATAAGTTTTCTTTCACATACATATAGAAGTACAAAGAAGACTGACATGAGCTGTTACTCTCTCCCTGCATGATTCTGTTGACATTTTAAAAAATAATAATGTATTTGGGTAGGAAATTTAAAAATTTTTAAATGTACATTATTCTAAAATAATGTATAAACCTGTTACCGTCAAGTCAATTCCAACTTATAGTGACCCTGTAGGAATCATAGGGTGTCCAAGGAGCGGCTGGTGGATTCAGACTGCTGAACTTTTGGTTAGCAGCCAAACTCTTAACCACTGTACCGCCAGGGTTTCAAAGTAATGTGTAAGGTTAGGAAATTCAGACAAAGCAGAAAGTTAAAATATGAGAAGTGAAAGCCTTCTCATCTTTAAAGGCAAATTATCTTAACAGTTTGTTGTGATTTATTCCAGGAAAATAAATGCACGTATCATGTGTTTTTCTGTATCTAAAGTATCCCTTGTTGTTTGAACCTTTGTTGTTCCTGAATATCAAGAATTCAGATAGAGGGAAATTAATTGAAAAATATAATTGAACCTATTGGTTTCAGAGTTTAATTAAGTGTGAGTTGTATAGCCAGGGTGACCTTAATTCTTTTCTTTTTTCTTGTTTTAAATACAAGAGTGTTTACGTTATTCAGTGTTGTTTCTTGCTTCTTTATAACAAAAGCATCTTGGAGCTCTTTGAGAAGAGTTAAGTCATATCTACCTCATTCTCTGTATTGACTATATAGTATTCCATTGTACAGACAATACCGTATTTTATTTAACTAATATCCATTCAGTGGACATTTGAGTTGTTTGTGATCTTTAACCATTAAATTTTCATTATACTTACGTTGTGAAGCTTTTGTAAATATTATATATATGGGATAAATTGCCAGAGTTGAAATTCCAAGGTCAAAGACCATATGCAAATTGTTTACCAGAAAGTTGGATCATTGAAAACTTGCAAAAACTATTAGGCTGATAATTTCTTTCACACACCAGCTCTGAGATATTATCCACTTCTTAAGGGTTTGCAACATTATAGGTAAAAAATGGTATCTCTTTTTTTATTTGCATGTCTTTGAGTGATTATTGGCATTGTTTTTGTCTTAACTACCAGTTTCTCTGTTACTCATCTTTTTTTTTTTTAAATAATCTGTATTAACTCTTTCTAAAATAAAGCAATTAGCCCTTATATGTGTTGCAGGATATGCTGGTGATGTAGTGGTTAAGAGCTACAGCTGCTAACCAAAAGGTCAGCAGCTCGAATCCACCAGGCACTCCTTGGAAACTATGAGGGGCAGTTCTACTCTGTCCTGTAGGGTCATTGTGAGTCGGAATCGACTCGACGGCAACGGGTTTGGTTTGGTTTTGGTATCTGTGTTGAAAATGTTTATTCCAGTTTTTCATCTGCTTTTCAACTTTGATAATTTTTGCTTTATAAATGTTTTTAATTTTTTCAAATTCTAATTCATTAATCTTTTATGATTTCTGGGTTTTATATTCTGCTTAGAAAGACCTCACCTATTTCAAATTATATACATTGGTTCACAGATGCTTTTTTTCAAAGCTTATTGTTTTCCCATTGATTTATATTTTATAGATGTATATATGTGTATATTTAAGTGCATAAGGCAAACTTCTGAAAGGATATACTCCCAACTCACAATAGTGGTTATCTTTGAGGAGTGGAAGGAAGGGATGATTGAGATAGAGATCTGTAATGTTTAAATTTTACCAGGACAAAATATGCATATATTCATTACACTTGTGGTATAATGAAAGATTAATTTAAAAATTAAAAATGAATCAAAGATTTAATTTTGGTGTAAGGAACAAAGTTTTAAATCCAGCTGTGACTTTTTTCCAGACAGATAGTCGTTTATTCCAGTATCATTTAATAGTTTTTTTGAGTGATCTCTTTTCCCTCCTTCCTGATTTGGAACATCATAATTATCATAAACTAGTGGTTCTCAACTGGGAGCAGTTTTGCTCTTCAGTGGACATTTGGCAATGTCTGGAGACATTTTTGGTTATCAAGACTGGGCATCTAGTGGGCAGAGACCAGGAATGCTGCTAAATATTCTATCATGCACAGGAAGGACCCTCACAACCGAATTACCAGGCCCAAAATGTTAGGGGTGCTGAGGTTGAGAAACCCTGGTACAAACCAGATTCCCTATTTTGTGGGCCTATTTCTGGACTCTTCTTTCATTGCTTGGTCTGTTTTCTTCTCTAGTACTAAACTCTTTTAATTATTAAACTTTCATAATGTATTTTAAAGTTCTGGTTCTCTTCATCACATTCCCTCCTCTCCATTCTTTACCATCAATTATAAACATAGTCTTGCACAGAAAAAATCTTCTGGCTTTTTTTGCATATTTATTTTACTAAATGAGCTTGGCTACCATTTTGTTGAGGTTTTCAAAATACATGTTCACTGATTTTTTTTTAAGTAGAGCTACATTAATTTTAAGTACAGGTAGTCCCCAACTTACGACGTACTCGACTTACCATGAACTGCACTTAGAACTGTCTGTTTTTGTTGTTGTTGCATTTTATTGTGCTTTAGATGAAAGTTTACATAACAGATTAGTTTCCCATTCAATAATTCATACACAACTTTTTCCATGACATTGGTTGCTGTCCCGGGAATGTGTCAGCACTCTCCTCATTTCTACCCTGGCTTCCCCCCTTCCATGCTTCCAGTTCCTCTGCCCCTCTTTGCCTTTTCATCTTTGTTTCTGGGCAGATGTTGCCCGTTTGGTCTCGTATAGTTGATTGTTCTAAGGAGCACATTCCTTACGGCTGTTATTGTTTATTTTATAGGCCAATCTATTATTTGACTGAAAGGTGACCTCTGGGAGTGGCTTCAGTTCCAGATTAAAAGGGTCTGTTAGGGCGATAGCCTCAGGAATGACCATCTGTTCTGTTTTGTTGGTACATCTTATTGTTAGAAATATGTGCTATCAAAAAAAAAAAAACCCATTGCCATTGAGTTGATTCCAACTCATAGCAACCCTATAAGACAGAGTAGAGCTGCCCCATAGGGTTTCCAAGGAGCAGCTGGTGGATTCGAACTGCTGACCTTTTGGTTAGCAGCTGAGCTCTTAACCACTGTACCACCAGGGCTCCTTATGTACCACACACAATGTTAAAATATATCTGTAAGTTTATATGTAATGTTTCCAACCCCCAAAGACAAAGATCAGATTTATAAAGATATAAAAGGTAATAATAATGATAACTTAAAAAAATAAAAAAATGAGGTATTTGACTTATATCATCAGAACCAACTTAACATCAAGGAATGGAACCCTGTCGTAACTTAGGGACTACCTGTACATTGAATTTTAAGTAGAACTATATTGATTAATCCTGGAAATGTCATCACTTTTATAAAATTGACTACTCTTAGCCAGGAGTATGAGATGTCCTACATATTGAAGTCTAATTTTATGTGCCTGTTGTTTGTTGTTTGTACATAGGTACTTCATCTTTTAGAGACTTTCTTTCCCATCACATTGTGTTTTCTTGTTACTGTTTATGTATAGAAAAGCCGTTAACTTTGGACATTAATTTTGTAACCTTCCACCTTACTGAATTGTTGTATTGTTTGTAATAATTTTTTTCAGTTGATTCTCTTGGGTTTTCCAATTTTAGAATTGTCTACAAATGATGTTTTGCCTTCTTCCCAATATTTTTACTTCTTCCTCTTTTATAATTTAATTTATTGATAATTTTAGAATAAATATTGAGTAAAAGAAAGAATACTTGTCATCCATGTTATGTTCCAGATCATTGAAAATTTTTCTAGTAGTGTGTAAAAGTATATTAAGCATGATGGTAACCTGTTATTGAGCTATTTACTTCTTTGTTATTTTAGAAATGTCAGATTTTCCTAGTTTACTAAGTAATTTTAAAATCAGGAATGGAAGTTGGACTTTATCAGTTAACTTTTCAAGATAAGATGAATGTATAGTTTTCATTGAGATGAATGTATAGTTTTTCTCCATTGATCTTTTAATATTGCATATTATACAAATAGATTTTATAGTGAGCTACCTTTGTATTGCAGGGATGATTTTCCTATATATGAGAATATTCTCTTAATAAACTTAGGGTCTATTTACTGAAATTTTATTCAGGATTTTTGCATTGATGTAAAAGAAATTTTTGTTTTTATGCTCTCGGTCAGATGTAGAGGCAGTAATACACTCTGTAAAAATAATTTGGAAGCTTTTCTTTCTCTAAATCTCTAAAATAGTTTTAGTAACATCAAAACTGTCTTGCTCCTTGACAATTTATAGAAAATCACATGACATCATCAGTTCCTAATGCTTCTTAAGGGGTAGCATTTTCTCAATTTCTTCTATTGTTATTAGTGTTTACTTCTTCTGTCTCCTGGGGTTAATTTCAGCAACTTATGTTTCCTGGAAAAACCAACCAGGTTAGCCACTCAAATTTTTATGTAATAATTTTCCTCTTTTAGGGTGTTTAAAATGTCTACAGTATCTTTATTATTTTTTTTGTCATTTTTAATTCTTCCTTTTTTCATTAATTAGGCTACCACTAAGAACATTGCCATATAGGAGCAAAATGATAACATGGGTGTTCATTATTTCTTAAATATTATTAATACTGATAATTATGTTTATTGACGTGTGTGGAATTCACTAAATTTTTAATTGATTTTAAATGTAAAAATCTATAAATGTTATATAACTTCAAATTTAAAACATTTATTAAAATATGAGCATTAGATATCATTCTACATTCCTGCTTCCTTCACCTTTAGTCCACTCCACCTGGGGTCCCCTTGGAGTTATCACTTTTGTAGCAAGTCCAACCTTCAGTACTTGTGAGAGTGGACTGTCAGGATCACTCCTTCTGGGCCACTCTTGTAGTCAGGAGTTCCAGCACTGCAAATGGTCCTGCCCTGTCAGGCACCTTATTTTTCCTTTTCTTTAGCAGACAGATCCATCCACTTTAGAGGACACTTGCTCTCTCCTTTGAGGGCAGAGTTACTTATAGGAACTGAGTGGAAAAGAAGGGGAATTGGGGGAACACAGGACATGGCAGGGGAAATGATTGGAGAAAGAGTTAAGAAGGATGATCAATGCTACTGGCTCATCTTTGAAATAATGTACTTATAACACAAATACACCAATATTTTGGTACTTAAAAAAAATCACACCAAAATGTCAGTTTTGACATTTAAAAGTAGCTCCTAATACTGTGTTCTCTAAACAGTGGTTTTATCTATTTTATTGTGTTTTTTCATCTCCCCCAAAGAACCAGCTTCTTTGATTTGTCTATCTTCTGTTTTCCTGTTTTGTGATTCATTAGTTTCTGATTTCATATCTCTCTTTCCCTTCACCCTGTTTTCTTTGGGCTTATTTTATTGTTCCCTTACAAACTTCTTGAGTTAGGTGTCTGATTCATTCATACACTGTTTAGTTATGTTAGGGGTGTTAAGACTGTAACTTTTCCTCTGAACACTGACTCTTGGCTGTATATGTAATATTTTCTCTATATTCTGCATTTGTATTAGTTTTATCTTAAATCACAAGCAGTATTTTTGTTTTTTAATTGTGATAAATACATGTATAAGAAAATATTTGTCAGTTCAACAATTTTTACGTATACAGTTCAGTGACATTATGTTCATCATGTTGCACAGCCATCACCATTATCCATTTCTACATTATTCCACCACCATTAACAGAAGCTCAGTGTCCTCTAAGCAACATCTCTCCTTTTCCCATCCCTCGTACCCATGATAAACACTGATAAGCTTTGGCCTATATACACTTGCTTATTTCATATAAATGGGATCATACAGTATTTGTCCTTCTGTGACTTATTTGGCTCAGCATGATGTTTTCAGGGTTCATCCGTGTTGTACCATGTATTAGGACTTCATTTCTCTTTATGCTGAGTAGTATTCTATTTTGTGTATGTACTACATTTTGTTTATCCATTCATCTGTTAATGGACATTTAGGTTTTCACTTTTTGGCTATTGTGAACAGTGCTGCAGTGAATTTTGGTGTTAAATGTTTGTTTGCTTTCCTGCTTTCAGTTCTTTTGGGTATATATCTAGGAGTGGAGTTGTTGTATAGTATAGTAATATAGTAGTTCTGTATGTTTAACTTTTTGAGGAACTTCCAAACTTTTCCACAGTGGCTGTACCATTTTGCATTCCCACCAGGAATGGATTGAAGGTTCCAATTTTTCCACAACCTTGCCAACACCCCTTATTTTATTTTATTTTTTATTTACTATTTTATTTATTTATTTTTTTCATTTACTTTTTTTTTTTTTTTAGTTTTTATTTTTTTAATATTTTATTGTACTTTAGGTGAAGGCTTACAGAACAAATAGTTTCTCATGAAACAGTAGTACACATGTTGTTTTATGACATTGGTTAACAACCCCACAACATACTAACCCTCTAACTTCTCAACCTTTTTTTTTTTTTTCCAACACCCCTTATTTTTCTTTCTTTTTTTTTTTTAATCATAGCCATTCTAGTGGGGTGAGGTGGTATCTCATTGTGATTTTGATTTGCATCTCAAATCCACTCAAGGGCTCCTAACTAACTTAACAACAACTGATGACATTGAGCATCTTTTCATGTCCACGTTGGCCATTTGTGTATCCTCTATGTCTATTCAAATCCTTTGCCCATTTTTATATTGGGTGGTTTGTCTTTTGGTTGTTAAGTTGTAGGAGTTCTTTATAGATTCTGGGTATTAAACTCTTATCAGATATATAGTTCCCAAAAATTTTCTCCCTGTCTGTATGTTTCTTTTTTACATCATTGATAAAGTCCTTTGATAAACAGAAGTTTTTAATTTTAATGTGGTCTCCTTTACTACCTTTTGCCTCTTGTCATATCCAAGAATCCATTGTTAAAAACTAGGTCCCGTAGCAATCAATACCCCTATGTTTTCTTCTAAGATTTTATAGTTTTAGTTCTCACATTTAGGTTCTTGATCCATTTTGAATTAGTTTTTGGATACAGTGTGAGGTGTAGATCCAGTTTCATTCCTCTGCGTGTGAAAATTCAGCTTTCCCAGCACCATTTATTAAAGACTTTTTTTTTCCCCCATTGAATGGACTGAACGCCCTTGTTGAAAATCAGTTGACCATAGATGCATGGTGTCTTTAAGCCACAAGTAGTTTTGAGGGAAGTTTTTAATTTCTGTATGATTGAAGGAAGGATTCTTTTGTTAATAATTTCTAGTTTTTATAGAATTATAACAATTATAGTCCACTGTTTGTAACTTTTTAATTTAAGATTTTTCTTTATAATCTAGTATATATACAGTTTTTATAAACTTAACCTGTGGGCACTTAAAATAAGATGTTCTCAACAAGTTAGAATGTACACTTGTTGGTCCAGTTTTGTCAGTTCTTTTGTTTAGGTCTTCTGTATCCTTTCTTTACTTGTTTTTTGTCTCCTTCATCTGTCTGTGGACTGACAGGGGTGAGTTATAGTCACTACTTCTGTTGTGCTTCTTATTTGTTTATAGTTCCTACAGTTTATGCTTTTTGTATTTTCTTACTATGGTATTTTGGAGAATAAGCACAACAACAGTTACATCATCATTTTGAGTTGGACCTTTGCCATTATAAAGGACCCCTCATTTAACACTTTCTGCCGTGAGTTAAGCCTGTCCATTATTAATATTGACATCCCAGCTCTCTTTTTGTTAATATTTGTCTGATATGGTTCCATTCATTTTCTTTTTGTTTTTCTGAATGACTTTGATTTAGATTTGAGTATTGTGTACATTATTATAATTGGATTTAGTTTTTTGCCAGATCTGTGAGTAGATGAATTCATCTCATTTATTACTTTTATTGATATATTGATACAATATTTGATCTTAATTCTGTAATCCTATCTCATGTTTTTCTGTTTTTAATGTTCCCTTTGTTTTCTGTCCTTTGTCACAATTCTTTTCTTGTTCTGTTTTGTGTTGA